TGTAGCATCCAAGGGCATCCATGCTCACTGGGCCAGCAGGGTCCTACGGCCTTTCATGCAGCCTCCGGGAGCCTCCATGCACAGTAGGCCGGGAGGGCCTTATGGGCTTTTGTGCAGCCTTCTGGAGCCTCCATGCACACTGGGCCAGATGGGCCCTATGGGCTTTTGTGCGTCCTCCCGGGGCCTCCGAGTGCACTGGGCCGGGGGTCCCTACGGGCTTTCATGCGGCCTCCAGGAGTCTCTGTCCGCACTGGGTGGGGGGGGCCCTGCAGCTTTTTATGCAACCTCCCAGGGCGTCCGTGTGCAGTGGGCCGAAGGGGCTCTACAGCCTTTTGTCGACCACCCGGGGCCTCGATGCACACTGGGCCTGTGGTGCCCTATGGGCTTTTGTGTGGCCTCCAAGGGCTTCCATGCATACTGGGCCGGGGTGAGGTGGGGAGGGTCCTACGTGCTCTCATGTGGCCTCTAATGGCCTCCGTGCACACTGGGTTGGGGGGCCCCTATGTGCTTTCATGCGGCCTACCGGGTCCTCCATGCGCACTGGGGCAAAGGGGCTCTACGGGTTTTCATAAGGCCTCCCGGGGCCTCTGTGCGCACTGGGCCAGGAGGGCCCTACAGGCTTTTGTGCAGCCTCCTGGGGCCTCCATGTGCACTTGTCCAGGGTGGGGCCCCATGGCCTTTCGTGTGGCCTCGCCAGGATTCCGTGCACACAGGGCCAGGGGAACCTACTGGCTTCGTGCAGCCTCCCAAGGCCTCCCTGCACACTGGACCAAGGGGCCCTACGGTCTTTCTTGCAACCTCTAGAAGTCTCCATGTGCTCAGGCCCAGGGGGGCCCTACAGGCATCGCACAGCCTCCAAGGGTCTCCATGTGCATGGGGCCAGCGGGGACCTACAGGCTTTCGTGTGGCCTCGCAGGGCCTCCGTGCCTACTCGGCCGGGGTGGCTGTATAGGCTTTTGTGTGGCCTCCCAGGGCCTCCATGTGCACTTGGACAGGGGGGGCTCTACGGGCTTCATGCAGCCTCCTGAGGCCTTCCTGCACACTGAGCCAGGTCTTTGGTGCAGCCTCTACAGGTCTCCATGCGCACAGGCCTGAGGGGAGTCCTATTCGCTTTCGTGCAACCTCCTGGGGCCTCCATGCACATGGAGGCCTGTAGAGGCTGTACCAAATGTGCCGGAGGGGACTCAATGTGCTGGAACGGTCCTACGGGCTTTTGTGTGGCCTCTGGGTGCCTCCACGTGCACAGGGCCAGGGGGCTCTATGGCCTTTAGTGTGGCCTCCTGCGGCCTGTGTGTGCATGGGCCTGGCTGAGCCCTACGGGTTTTCGTGTGGCCCCACCCCGGGGCCTCTGTTCAGACAGCACCGGAAGGGCTCTACAGGCTTTCGTGCGACCTCTAATGGCTTCCTTCCACTGGGCCGAGGTTTTCATGCAGCCTCTTGGAGCCTCCATGCGCACAGGGCTGGGGGTGTCCTAGGGGCTTTTGTGCGGCCTCCATGCACACGGGGCATGGGGTTCCCTACAAACTTCCATTTGGCCTCTCAGGGCTTCCATGCGCACTGGGCCGAGGGGCCCCTATGACCTTGCGTGCGGTCACCCATGGCCTTCGTGCGCACAGGGCTGACGGGGCCCTCCGGGCTTTCGTAAATCCCCCCAAGGCCTCCGTGTGCACATGACCAGGGGGGCCTGACAGGTTTTCGTGCGGCCTCCTGGGGCCTCTGTGCTCACGGGGCCGGGGTAGTCCTACAGGTTTATATGTCCTCCCAGGGCCTCAAAGCCCACTGGGCCAGGTGATCCCTTCCAGTTTTCATTAAACCTCCCAGAGCCTCCGTAAGCACAGGGCCAGGATTGCCCTATGGGCTTTTGTATGACCTTCCAGGGCCTCCGTGCGCAAGGGGCTGAGGGGGCTCTACGGGCTTTCATGCCTCATCCCGGGGCCTCCGTGTGCACTGGTCCAAGAAGGCCCTGCGAGCTTTCATGTGGCCTCCCGGGGCACACGTCAAGGGGGAGGCTATGGCGTATTAATAGCATGGCCTCCGGTATAATGAACCAAAGACATTTTATTGAACATCAGATAAAGCTTATATACCATACTGTCCCAGATACAATACCTTATTTGTCTACAAGCATGCAAAGCACAGTTACTAAATAAGCCAATAATCCAAGGGAGAGCATCAAGACTATCCAGTCAGCTTCTTGGACACATGACAGCCGTACAATTTCTTTTGCTCCTTGTTTGACATGTTCTCGTTTTCTTGCTTGGGTTTCATGATCAAGATGGTGTTAAATTCCCTTCTCTTTGTTCCCAAAGACACGGTCCTTGGTTTTACTTAGGCACTTACTGCTCTGTGTAAGGAGTCTTAAATGACACAAGAGCAGCATGTTCTTCTGATGGTTTGGGGGTGAGATGTTCAATCATCAGTTACTTATACTAACTGTCACTCATGCCAACAGCAGGCCTCTTGGCCTACACTCACCCCCTAGGTGGCCCTCAGAGAGAGAGGTGGCCATCACTCACATCAAGGTCTGGCATGGCATGTGTCCCCACCACTCAGTGCCTAATGGGTTGCAGCCAATAGCGGAGCTTGAGGTTCTTCCTGGTGGCAAACACATAGGCCAACCCAGTCTTGCCCTTCGTCATCAAGGTAGTGTCCCACCTACTTCTTCCAGTAGCAAGTTGCTATCATAATGCACAGTTATTAAGATCTTTTTAACCTCTGCCTTAGCATTTTCTAACAACTGCTGTAACTTTGCATGCTCTAACATCTCTTTTACAAGTGACAAACCCATACCAATTGGGATCGAGTTTATGCCATGATATAGGGTACAGTTTCAGGTGGCTTATACACAAAATCTAATAACAACTCTAATAACAACTACATTGCAAGCACACGTACTAGAGTCATTAAACAGAGTCTGGTTACACATTTCATTAAATAGCACATATTTACACATTGTTTTAAAACACACGCATCCTTTCCGTACATTAACTAATGCGGTTTTATTATTACTCTGTGAATTGATCTCAAAATGACACACACCCTCTTCGGTATCAGGGCAAACATTCCTCGCCTTAAGGGCATCATCTTTGCATATGAGCACCAGCCCCCATTCTAAAATACAGGCTTCTAGATCTACCGATTGCCATTTTTTATCAGACACTCTTGCCCACATTTGGTGGTCAGGGCAGGGAGGGCCGGGGAGGGAGAGAGTGGGTAGAGCACAGATTTTTTGATGTTAATTCCCAGGGCTACAATGGGGTAAACCTTCTCCATGGTGGCAGCCACCATGGTCAGTATGTAGGCAATGACTGTGTTGAGGATGTGAACATCACAGGTCCACAACGCTTGAAGCTGTCGCTCTCCGTGGCTGCATCCCACACGATCTTTTGGATCTCGGTGGGGAAGACTCCGTTGTCTCCATCTCTCAATATACCTGCAGCAACACTCTGCACCCACGTTTGGGCCTGGATGCAACTAAGAGCGAGGGACACGTTATTTTGTTCAACTCCCAGTGCTTGCGGCAACACCTGGTGATCGATGACAGATGGCTGGACTGTGCAACCACCACTGGTTACACGTTGGTGAACGTGTATTGTTACCACTGCCAAGCAAAGGCAAACTGATCCCAGTGCTCCTCAGCCATGGTAAAGAAAGTTTTAACCAAATCAATTACTGCATACCAAGTTCCGGAATGCTTCTGGATTTTTTCTATCAAGGTGATCTCAGCTGTTGAAAAATCTTTGTAGGAAGAGTGTTTTATTATTAAAATGGGCCAATCGTGTTACATTTCATTACTGCTACCAGCTGTGCTGCAGAATATTCACTTTGAAGGATTACCCCAGAGTGTAAATCCAGATCTGTGACAGCAATAAAATGGGCTTGCTGAAGGTAGCTACTTTAGAAGTCTCCGCTATGGTGTAAATTGAAATTAGGGCACCGACCTCCACTGGGCCTTTTAGGTAAGTGTTTGATGTCATATATGAATGAAAAGATAACTTATGGAAGACAGAGAAAATTAAAAATAATAATAATAATCTGTCTTTTTTTTTCTGGAAGGATGGAGAAAAAGAAAATTCTAATGAAATCCAAGGTCGCTGCTTCGAACCTCTTGCAGGCACTGCATTCTCTATACCAGTTTGGTCACCTCTGTGATGTGACAGTTCACACAACATCTAGGAATTCAGGAGGAGTTTCTGGTTCATAAAGCTGTCTTGGCAGCTTCCAGCAACTATTTTAAGGGACTTTTTCTGCATGATGAAATATTGGACACTAAGAAATGCAGTGACTCTACAAGACATTTACACAGAAGAGTTCACCTCCTTTCTGGAGTTTATTTATACTGCAGAGGTGGAGATTGAAGCAGAAAAATTGCACCGAATGAAGGAAATAGCTGAAAGACTTGAGTGCAAGGATTTGCTTGATATTTGTGAAGAAGTGAAAGAAGAGGGCAAGAAAGGTTTGGATTTGAGCCTCCATCTGAAAGGTTAGCTCTGTGAAAACGGTGGATCACAGTGGACTTGCCTTGAGCAAGAGGAAGAGCACAAAATTGAGTAACTCTTCCCAGGTTGTGGCTATGCCCATGCAGAGGGAACTCTGGCATAGGCAAAAGCATACAAAGTTGCTGACTAGCTATGAACACACTGAAGGCCGATCATCAAGTCTTGAGCAAGCAGATGGTGCTTTCCCACAGTCAAAACCTAAGACTGCAAAGTTACTTAAATGTAACAAAACACTTACCAAAAAGGCAACCAGTTTGGACATGGTTAGTCTTGAAAATGAGGCTGGTCCTTCTCTCAAGCCAGACTGACTCAAAAGAAGCCTGCATAGCAATTAGAAACACCCTTCCTGAGCAGTGGGAAGATGAACACAGTTTAATTTCCAAACTTTCCAATAAAAGTGAGTGTAAGAAATCACTGCGCCATGTAGCAAAGGTCTTGCCACAGATAGCATGTGAGAAGTGCAATGAATTGTTCTGTTTTGTCAAGCAGTATGAATCACACATGGAGCTCAAGCATGACATTAATCTTGCTGTCAAGTACAGCTGTAACAAGTGTGAGCAGCTCTTCTGCAGTCACCAGGATCTCAGGCAGCACCAGCTCACTGCCCACAGTGATGAGAGGTTTTTCTGTGTGTTCTGTGACAAACGGTTTAAGCAACAGAAGGACATAAGCAATCACAGACAGAGAGTGCATGGAAAGAGGCAGGATCCCCAGGCATGCCCATACTGTGACAAAGTCATCAGTTCCAACTGTGGCCTGGCAGCCCATATGCGAACACACACAGAAGAGAAAACTTATAAATGTGACCCGTGCCCTGCAAGCTTCGTTCAGAGGTCTGCTTGCAATAGTCATGTAAGGTACAGCTTTCTCTGTGTGTGGGTGCGTGTGGTTTGTCATGTTTGTTTCTGGACACTGGGATAAATACATTTTTTTAAGTCTTGATTGCTTCAGTTCTAGAAGTCCCTTGGACCTGTTCAGAAGTGTGTTGAAATCAACACAGATATTTTTTCTTCCCCATTGACTTCATCAAATTTTCATACCAGAATACTGTATTGAAGTTTTTCAAACTGCATCCGGAATTTGGATGTGTATTTCCCATTGAAACGGGCTTGTGCAACCAAATCTAAATGAGGGCTTGAAAAGAACTGGCATCTCTTTAAAATGAACAAGAAAATGCTCCTTTCATAAATGAAAGTGCAGGCTGGTGCTTTCCTGTATGTTTTTCATGGGCTAAGTATCCTGCATACTGTTTGTTAGGTAGCATGAGCTTTTATATATGCCTACCAAGCACTGCTTGCCTGAAAACAAGATGTTGAAATTACACAGTAGTTTTCAGAGACGCAAAAGCTACTGCACATGTCAAAAGTCTCAGTACCTTCCTTGTGTGGTATAGGAGACATATGGTGTCTTACTGGATTCCAGCTTCCCGTTTAAAAATGTGCAAAAATCATTGCTAGTTCATTTCAGTAGCGAAAAAAAAATCTGCCAGGTATGTCTTCAGTGCAATGGATATAGTTCTGTCTTTTTGCCTTAGTTGTAGGCCAGAGTTTGAAAGTGGGAACTTACCTCTTCCTATTATTTTCACACTCTTCCTATTATTTTTCACTAAATTCACATATTTAGAAAAATGTCAATATTAATTATTTGATTGGCAGCCACTGTATTATATGGAAGGCATGAGACATTGCAATGAAGAGAACAAAAGGAGAGTCTGTGTAAAGACAGGGGGAACGAATGGTGGAAAGGACTGGGGATGGATACACTGAGGAAGGAGTATGTCAGTAAATAAAAATGATGTCAACGGGGTCAGACCACAGGTTGAGCTAGCTCAGTACAAATTAAAGCTTGGAGAAAATGTATGAAACAAGGCATGTATACAGCGATAATTCCTGCCCTTAAAGGATCTAGCAAAAATGCTGGGTAGCCTGCACTGCAGATAAATGTGAATCTGCTATCTTCTCATTTGAATGAGTAAATCAAAGCAGTATCTTTCTGTTGCTGCTTTAGGCTGACCCTATTGCTGTGGTGCTGACCTTCGGCTTGTGGCATTTACTAAAGCCTTGCATTGAGAGATAGATTTATGCCATCTTTTTGCACGTCTGCAAACCTTGTTTCCTCACAGCCAATTCAGAGCTTGTTTAGCCTCCTGAGTTGCACTTAAAACAACTGAAAAGATCATTATGCTGTAATATTAGACTACCACCCCAAGGTCAATATCAGTGGATCTAATGGCAGTGATTTAGCTGCCATTGTACAGCCAGGTAAAAGCAAAGGTAACAACATCTGAGGAACTCTTTGCAAAGCTAATAAGATACAGTCCCCTCTCACCATCCCCTGCTCTCTGTTGGGACTTTGTTAACAGAAAGAAGTTCTTTGCTTTCCACTACATCTTTAGAATATTGAGAACTATGGGGACAGTAAGTTCCTTTTCTCATTTATTTTCTTGCTGAATTTTCTCCCCATAGTGTAGTGGGAATAAAATATTTCCTTCTTCCTAAAATCTGTGACCAGCTTCTGTAGATGTTTCAAGGATGACTTCTGTAATCCAGGTAATGTGTGAAAAATTCTTGCTTACAGTCTGCTGTAAAATACCCTTGTTCCTTTTTGTGTAGATTCCCCAAGATGAGGCTGGAAGGAGTCAGAATTTGCAGATTCTCAATGCAGAGGCTGCAGTGATCGCTGCTTCTTTAGCTGAATGTTGACCTTGGGAGTGGCAGAGGACAGTGGCCTTTTACATTCATGAGTAAATCTGTAAATAGCTACTTTGTTCAATGATGTCTGAATTCTTGCAGTATCCAGCTAAGAAACCTCCTTCCTGAGATGGTAATTCTCTCATCTCTCCATTCTTTTCCACAGACCTTCATCTTACCCTCATGCTATCTAGCTTCTTGAAGATTTATTCCTCAGAGAATGACCTACTTATAGTGGTATCTGATATTAGGACTCCTCCTGATACTGAAGGTGAAGTTTTTAGCCTCCTCAGCTATGTAGAAAAACTGTGGGAAGTGAGTGTTACTGAACATGATTTGTAGATAGGTGGTGATGCACCTAATTCAATTAAACAGCAAGCAAACATGCATTTTTCCAAACAAATTTTCTCATCTTTTCGCATTACTCTCAAGGTATTAATGTTTGTAATGAAGAAATGAAGTCCCAGTTTTGTCCTGTACATAAGTACCCATGTTTCTAGGGCGGAAAAAGTCCGATACCTCCAGGGGTGCAATAAAATCCTTAACACCTCAGTTAGAGAAACATCTGTCTTTTTCTCAAGTAAAAACAAGTTTTTGCCTTTAGTTAAGCAACATTTGGCCCATTTCAAAAAAAAAAAAAAAAAAAAAAAACCAACTTCACTGTGTGAGCCCTTTTTGACCTGTAGTCCAAATCTGTGCTTTTCTTAGTTTGAGAGCTTAAAAACAGAGATTGTAAATTTAAAGTGGCAAGCTTGTTTAAGGAGTAAGTAGAGATCAAAGACAGTGCATCAGCTGTGACGCTATTTATTGATACTCTAGAATCACAAACGGGCTGAGGTTGGAAGGGACCTCCAGAGATCATCTAGTCCAACCTCCCTGCTAAAGTAGGGTCATGGGGAGCACATTGCCCAGGATTGTTTCCAGATGGCTTTTGAAGATCCCCAGGAGTGGAGACTCCACAAGAAATCTGGGCAACCAGTTCTAGTATTTGGTCACCCTCACAGTAAAGAAGCTTTTCCTCCTGTTCGGACAGAGCTTCCTGTGTTTCAGTTTGTGCCTGTTGCCTCTCGTCCAGTCACTGGGTACTGCTGACAAGTGTCTGTTTTCTCATAGGAGAGCTGCTTTAGTCCCCTGATCATCTTAGAAGTGCTTTGCTGGGCGTGCTCCCTTAGCTCCATATCTTTTTTGTACTGGAGAGCCCAGCACTGGACACTGTGCTCCAGATATGGCCTCACCAAGGCTGAGTAACAGGGGATGATGACCTCCCTCAGCCTGCAGGCAATGCTCATCCTAATGCAACCCAACCTGTAGCTTTTCTGTCCACAAGGACATGTTGCTGGGTCATGGTCAACTATTGTCCTTCTCTGAAGAGCTGCTTTCCAGCAGGTGAGCCCCCCAAAATAATCAAAAGTTTTAAATAATATAATAATAACAGAAGTTCACCAGGAGGACCTCAAGCTATGTTTGGAAGAATGCATCTGTTAGTCTCCAATCACAGAAGTACAGAATTTAAGTCCACAAGAGGTTTATAAGAGGTCATACAGTGCATCCATATGCACTAAAATGGTGGCAGCTATACCTATGTTATTTCTGCAGGTGTTTGTCTATCTTGTTCTTTAAACCTCTGCATTGCATGTCCCACATCCTGACTAGTGGAAAACATAGTTAACTACCAAAGTACATTGTTCATAAGGAGTTCTGCTCTATTTTTTTCATGTAGATGTTTAATCTACATTTGCTTTGTTTTAAGGCCTTAATTTCTTGTCTACTGTGGTCTTGGAAAAAAATTTTCTACTGTGTCCTATGTTACTAGTCAGATGATAAATAAATATACCTGAGAGCCTTCATTCTTGCTCAACTCAAGGTTGTTAAAATTTTATCTTCAGTCTTTTCAGAAAATGTCTGGTGAAACATTCATTGATGCCTGGAAGAAAAAAAAATTAAAAAAAGCTCTTAAAACAGTGTTTTTAAAAAATAAGTTGCTTGAGACACATTTGAATTTTATTTTCTTTTTTTTTTATTCAGGGTAACTGCAAATTTGTCCTGTTGTTTGGTTTTCCAGCCACACTGTTAAATCCCCAAGTGGTGTGAGGAACAGTTAAAGAGAAACAACTCTTCCTCCAAGACACACAGGTATGAAATGAAACAATTAAACCTATTAAAGTTGTGCTCTGTTGTTTATTTTAACAGAAAAGATCCATGAATCTGGGCAAGAAAGGAAACTTTTACCAATCTATTGGATGGTAGTTCCACCTGCATGTAGACCAACTGCAACAAACTGTGAAAAAGACACTAACAGAGAGACGTGGGATAGGGCACTGGAGGCTGGACTACGAAGGTGTGTAAAGCACAGGGAGGCCACCAGTTGTGGGGAAGAACCTTCAGGTTCATCTGTCACCCAAACAGATTGTAGCAATGCTCAAGAAGAGAGAAAGCAGAAATGTAAGGAAGCTGAAGCAAGAAGGGGAAAAAGGAAAGAAAATGGGAAGGAAGATGAAGGTGGAATGAGTGTGAAGGGAGAGCAGGATGGAGACTGTGAAGCAGGGTATTCAGAATTTGAAGACAGTAAAAGCAATGAGAAGGTCTGTACTGAGGAGGAGGATGAGAATTAATACTGTAACGGGAATCCTCAGTTCCTGAACAGCACTAGTATTTCATATGCAGACACATACAGGAGAAAAACCTTATGAATGTGGCATTTGTCATTCAAAATTTGCTCAGCCATCACAGCTTAAGATCCATACAAGGTCAGCCTAAAGTACTGTTTCTCCCACTACTACCTCCTGCATGCATAGTGTACTTCAGCAAGTTTTTCCTCTTCTAACTTCCCAACTGTAAGTCACTCTACTTGGGCATCCTTTTAACAGGAACCCTGCAATATAATTTGTTCTATGCATAATTAATTTTTCTATGTAAAGGCTTTGTCTACCTCTGATGACTACATGATTTTTTTAGGGATTTTGAAAAAGACTCTTTATCCAAACTTGAAAGCAAAATACAGCTATTTGAAATTGAGACTTCAAAATAAGATGATGGTCTTAATTGATGTAAAACAGCATAGAATTAGCCCAGGATGTTGGAGACCAAGGGTTAGAGCCCTGCACTTTCTTTATTACTCTGAGGATGTCATGGAGTGTGGGATTTCATTTTCCCTATGTTATTTAAAAGATGGACGTCTAATCTGGGTTCCTTCTTCCATCATAGAATCATAGAACGCTTAAGGTTGGAAGGGACCTCTAGAGGTCATCTAGTCCAACCCCCCTGCACACACAGGGTCACCTAGAGCACGTGGCACAGAATTGCGTCCAAGCGGGTTTTGAAGATCTCCAGAGAAGGAGACTCCACAACCTCTCTGGGCAGCCTGTTCCAGTGCTCTGTCACCCTCACTGTTAAGAACTTGTGGAGCTAGAATGGATGTATTATTCTCTGACAGTATCTATACTAAATGCATCCTATTCTAAGAGCATGTGAATCATACCATGAAATTTTCCATCTTTCTCTAAATAGGGAGTCTTACAGAGAGCTTATATTAGGACATAACTGTTGAAAGTCTAAATTAGGTGAGAGAAATCCCATCATATGCAGACCCATAAAAGGGGGACAGTAGCTTTTCTCTAGGTGTTTCACAATGATTCAAACAAACAAACAAAAAAACTTATGAGGTATGTTGATTCTGTAGTGGTAAAAAATCTGAAATATCAAGTTACCTGTTACCTGAAAAACAACAGAGGTGTGAAAAGCAACCGTAGCGTGAAATATGATGTGAAAATTCAGAACCCCAACAAAGCAGTGACAAAGGGGTTGGTGTTCAGTAACTGGTCATCTCCAGTTTGCCAATTTTGCGTGGCAACTCAAAATCATGCATTTTTTTACATATCATACAATCCAGGTTGAAATAAGGAAAGTCAGCACAGTATTAAGATAAAATGCTGGGATCCCTGCCTCAGAATTTTCCTGGTTTGAGCTAGTTTCAAATCAGGTGTCCAGTATGTGTCTAGTGTCTTCTGAAACACCGATTGCCTTTCAGTAGTGCCTGTAGTCTTAAAAATGGGAACATCTTAGTTAAAAATTGCAGGCCCAAGGGTGTGGGGCTAAGGGATCTACAGAAGCCAAGAATATGGCTTGGAACGTCTCAAGAGATCTGCTGCTGGCATCGTGCTGGGGAAGATCTGGATGTGCTTTCTGTCTTAACAGAGCAGCAAGTGTTATCTTTCCTACTTAACTGCTCCAGTGCTTATGCTATGAGTTAAAGAATAGTTGAAAGTGAGGTAAAGCAGATGCTTAAATGGAAGCCAGGGAGCGACAAGAGAATTTTTTGAAAGCCCATATTACAGCCAAGTTCAGTCAGCTAGCTTAGGACCATAACCAAAATTTACTGACATATCTCTACGGGCCGTAAGAAGCTCTGCTGGATTGTATCAGCTGAGAACAAACCCTGTGATTTTCTTTGGTGAGATCAGAAATATCCATCAAAAGGATACCTGCCATATTTCAGTGGTTCGTTTTTCTTTAAGAGGCAAGCCATACAATGTTTGTGAGTATCTCAAAATTAATTGGTATATGGAGTATTGCAGACAAGTGGAATATGGGCCTCAGTTGACTGCCAGAACAGGACGGTGTTTGCCACCTTTTGGATGCAGTTTGAAGCAGGAAGGAGGAAAAGGGGAATGTATTTAAGCAAAGTGTGGCTTCACAAGTTTCATTAAAGGACCCATTCCTCAGCGTTCTGATACAATTTAATGGAAATACTGTCTTTCACTCCATTTAAAGACTAACATATTAAATTCTAAGTAACTCAATGTGCTAAAACATGCCCTGCTTCTTTAGTGAGGGGGAATTATTTAGTTCTGATATTGAGCTACCCATTGGGATCTGGGTCTGCAGAAATCTTTAGGATAGCATTTACAGCAGTAAACACTCAGTTTCTTAGCTGAGCAAAACCTTTTTTTTCCATCAGTTTTGTCATTTAATGTATGTAAGTATGCTGCCTGTAATGTGTAAAATATACTTTCAGTGCTTTAAGACGCATTATTTTAAGAACAGCATGAGAGAACTATTTTATCAATAGTAATTTGTGTTCCACTTCATTTAGGTCCCATACAGGGGAAAAGCCATATATTTGTGAGGACTGTGGGGCTTGCTTTGCTGATAAAGGCAAACTCACCAGCCACAAAAGGACCCATACAGGTAAGCATTAAACACACCATTTTCTTCTATCTTACCCTATTGAGCACTTTCACAGAGAAAAGAATAAACGCAGTTCCTGTTACTGCCTGAAAAGAGCTAATGGGCAATTGAAGATACATTTTTTTTTCTAACTCATAAGAGGGACTTGAAGTATCAGGAATGAGCTGTTGGGGATAGGACATCTGAAAGGCAACTTTGAAGTACAAAATTGAATAGAAAAATAGTATGGGGAGTTGGAGAGTCCTGTGCACTGAAATAATAATTAAGGGGTGAACAAGTGAGGTCATAAGGGATGCAGGGTGCACAAAGAGTTAAGGACAGAATCAAGGGATAATCAAAGCCATATGAAACTCAAAAAAATCTAAGCTTATAAAGTCTATAATTCTGGAGAAGAGGAATAGCTGAATGTGTTAAAAACAGGAAGATAAACATGCAGGAAAGACTGCTTTAAAACTTGGTCAGGACAAAGTTAGAGGGAGAAACTGATGACAAAATTTAAAATATCTTTTCCTTTCTACTCAGGAGAACGTCTTTTTAGATGTGAGGTGTGTGGAAAACACTTTTCTACTAATGAATACTTAAAATGCCACAAGCGATGCCACATGGGTGCTAAGCCATACAAATGTGAAGTCTGTGGGAAAACATTTGGTTTGAGAGCCTCCCTAGCCCAGCACAGTAATGTTCATGCAGGTAATGAAACAATTTATGTTATGGAGAGTAAACTGCACTAGAAGTTTGGATGTAAAGTGCATTTACAGCTTGAGTGCTAACTTTTTATTCCAGAACCAATTTGTAAATTCCTTGGATTAGGTGATAAGGAGAAGCAGGGTTCATACTCTTCCTGACTTACTAAACCAGGACATGATACCACCTTGTATCATATCTTGTTTATATATAGGAAGATATTTTTATATATCAAAGAGGATTGTCTCTTTTGATACAGAGTAGAGATTACATGTTAACTGGACCAAATGTACAGTGAAGAAGATGACTTAGTGTGAATCCCATTAGAACATCCTGATTCTTCAAACATTTTTATGCTCGTTCCCCTCAAACAGTTTGGAAAACAGTTTGGGACTCATAAACCCCTTATATTTCTCTCCTTCGTTGCAGTCAGTGTAGAAAACAAAATGTCAGACCAGGAGTCAAACAGCACTTGCCCAGAAGACTGAGGCCTGTTTTGTGCTGTTGAAAGATGCTAGAGAAAGATGCAACAGCAATTGCAATTGTTGCTATTTCCCCTGAAAGATGAGGGAGCTGTGTTCATGCTTTCCTCCACTGCCAAGGAAGACTAGAAAGTTGGATCACAAATCTTTAGAAACCAAGGCCCCATAGCGTCGATCTTCCTATGTACACCATTTTATCCTGATGCTGCTCTTTTCAAACTTCTTTTGAAAAGTTTAGTATGCTCTTTTTGTTTATTGAAGTCAGGACCAAAAAGAGCCTGTCTGAAAAGTGTGAGATTCCTGTTCCGTTTTTAGAGACCCGTCCATACTTCTGTGAACTGTGTGGAAAATCGTTCACGCAACAAGGTGCTCTGCGGCGGCACCAGCGTATTCACACCGGGGAAAAGCCGTACAAATGCAGGGCTTGTGAGAGAAGCTTCACGGATATGTCCACCTTACGGAGACATGTGTTGGTACGTGGCCTCTCAGATATCTTTTGGACAATCAAAATGTGGTAGATGCATTTAAATACGAGCTATGCTACTCTAGCTGAAAGAAGTTTCTTTGTTTCCTGAGGGCTCATATTGGGATTTAGGATTTGATCTTTAGGGAAAATAAATTACACGTGAAAGATTATTGGGGTCGGGAGATTAACCTAGGTAAGTATGGCTTGTAAAAATACATTTCTGAAGTATGGAGAATTTTCCTCAGTGCAAGAGCACAGCAGTTCCTACATTTCCAAAATAGTTGTGTCATTTCTTCAAAGGAAAATCTAATCTTATGAAAACATACAAGGAAGGACATTGGCTATTTAAAATGCTGGCTACGCGTTTTGCATTCCTTTAGTCATTTAAGCCTCTTATTGGAAATAACATGATGGTTTACAATGTCTTCATATCGTACATGAATATGATTTTACATATTTTCAGAGTTACAATACACCACAAAATGGACTGCTGAGATTAACTGTTTTCAGAGATATTTGGATTCTTCAAGTGATTGCTAAGAGAGATTGCTATATAAATATATAAATATATATATTTTTTCTAATCACAAGTTTTTAAGTCTAAGATTTGCCCATAGACTATAAATCTATTTTATTTTAGAAGTGCTTCCTGGCAACAGAGCCAGAAAAGCAGGGCAGAGTCAGTAAAACAAATCTGTTCTTGTTCAGCTTTTTTGCCTGTGTTAGCACATTCAAGGAAGTATCAGAGAGTTAACATTAACACCATTAGATTTTGAGCTTGATTAAATTCTCAATTATGAAAAATACTATTAGAAAAAAATCATCCATAATCTTTTTTTATTTCCTTTCTCCTAGATTCATGACAGGAATGCTCACTGGAGAAGTTTCTTAATAGATCTTACAACCAAAAAAGACCATAACTGGTCCAAAATAGAAACATTATCAGAAGCCTGTATGGGTGAAGACTCAGCACCTGAAATTTGGTCAGTTGACCAAGGTAAACTTTATAAACCAGAAAGCTTTATTCTTGAAAAAGTAGAACACATGCCATCTAGTGGTAATAATTCACAAGACACCGATCAATCTCTTTTGTACTTATAACATCAGATTTGCACCAGAAAACTGTACAAACTCCATGTTTGTAACATGTTTGCATTCCTGTTACAATAGGCTCAACTATTTCAAATTTTTGCTTATTGTAAATGCCTCATTAAGCTAATGATATAATGCAGTATCTTCTTTATATGTGGTATGAAATTATGTACATTGTAGTCAGAGAAAGGATTCATAATTCTTCTTAAAAGAATTTATGACAGTTAAGAGTTTAGATATGTCTATAGTTTTATTTTTACAAAGTTTTGAATACATCATATGATGAAATGCCTGATTATGAAAGCATGCTTTGTTTTGGCACTGTGTGTATATACATATATATACACGTATGTATTGTTCTGTTGCTGCAAATTACTGTCTTTTTAATAAAGCCACGTTCATAACATAAAATGACTGTCCACTCATTCCTCTGATTTACTTGCTTGTATTTGGATGCATTTTCCCTGATAAATATGAAACTTATGACTGTTGCTGTGGAATGTTATAAACAGACTAGGAGGTAAATGCTTAACTGGTGGTATAATTGTGGCTTATGTTGTGTCTGTTCACTTAATTTAAAGTTGATATGGCTATCTTTTGCTGTAGCTTTTTTAAAAAAATCTGTATATTTGTTATGAGAAACCCCAGAAGAGAATGCACCCAAGGACATATTTTTGCTCTTGTTGCTGGTACATTATGAGAAAAATGGACAAAACAGCAGGTGTTACTGGGACATCATGAAAGAATACGGCCGAAACAGCAAACACCGGTTGAAGACGAAAGTAAGGACCACCGTATCTTCAAGGAACTGTCTGAAACTGGGCAGTAGGACCAAAACAGGGCCTTCCGAGCCGGAATGAGGCCATATTTGGAAGTGAGTTCCTGGACATCATCGAATGGACACAAAAAGACGGCCACCAGGGGTCTCAGAAGACCACCAGAGACTACCAAAGGGACAGAGGATGCACATGCGCGAGGGTGGGGTACATTGCAATTAGTTCCAGGAAATAGAATGAATATCTATGATCATTCCTAGATTCTAATTATTTGTAGATAATAGAGAAATAAAAGTTTTAGCAAACACACACCTTAGGGCATGCACGATAAGTGGAGCCATCCCCTGTGCATCCAGCGCTACAATAAAGTGAGTGCCTACTTCTTAATACTACATTGGTGTTAAGAGGTTTATTCCCAGTTTTTGGTTAAAGTTTCTGGCGAGCGAGGTGGGACACCGCTTCTGAACCTCTGCGGATCTGCGGGATCGCTGGACCTCCTGCCAGCACAGAAGGATTCTCGGGGAGAACCTCCAATCCCCAGACCAAAGAACTCTGAGCAAGGCCATTGGGAAGGTAAAGGTATTCCTTTCTTTATAACAGTATCCTTAAAAAAGGTTGCCTGTCTGTAAGACAAGGCGAAAGCTTTGCAGGGTTGGGCAAAGGTATGTACCTAAGGGAACGGACAGGTTCAGTCGAGAGGTAGATTATATTCCCACCCCAAAGGTGCTCACTTTGGATGAAGCAAAAGCTCTGCTAGTAGGGTTTAGATCCGGCCGAAAAGCTCTCCCATCAGACGAAACAAAAGCTTTTCAGGGAAGGACTTCAGGGTAGCTGTAGCATAAAGGGCAAAGGTTGAAATCAGGATCCTGTGGCTTAAAGTTCCATCAAAGGGTTAAAATTGGACCAATATTGCTGGAGAACTGGTGTGGAAATTTGGAATGGTATCAGGTTTCCTCATCTGGATCTCATATTCGGTGATTGGTTAATTGTGATGTCTTAAAATTCAGAGTGGCATTGGTATTCTCGTGTCATTTGCTCATGTCTGAACTTTGCATTTGGTGACTGTTACAAGAAAAAGGTGGGGAAGACTCATAACGCATCAACATAATGGATAATATTTGTTCCTTGGAAAGAGGGGAAGAAGGGATCTTGAAAAAATCTCCTCGGGGATGCATTTTAAAACATTGGGAAAAAGTAGGAGATCCTCTTACAAGGGATCTTGAAAAAATCTCCTCGGGGACGCATTTTAAAACATTGGGAAAAAGTAGAAGGAGATCCTCTTACGTTGAATATAGCTTGTGGAATATTGTAATCACTGGTGGCCAATGGATATTTTGGAAGACCAGGAGAAATCGCCAAGGAGTGGAACTTTAAGATATAATACTATATTGCAATTGATGTTATTCTGTAGACAGGAGGGAAAATGGAATGAAATCCCATATGTAGATTTGTTCTTTGCCTTGAGACATCATCCGGAATGGCAAAAAAGTATGTGGAATGCTTTCATCTGATGCCATGATAGCTCTGAAAAAGGAGTGGAGGGGGAGGAGAAGGCTGAGGAGATGTTGATCAATTTTGTAGTATTGGCAAGCAATGTTTGAAGTGCGAACGAGAAGAGGAGGAGGATCTGGAGTTTATGATTGCCCCTTGACAAAGAACAGGGGAAGGTGAAAGAGGGGGAAATTACAGGAGTCTAGGTACTGAAGCTCGTGACATAAAAGGAGCGCATGGAAAGGATGTGAAACAAAGGGAAGGTAGCCGCTCCAAAGGGATGGAGGACTTTAGTACAATCGCAGGACGAACTAAGGTCTGGCAGGAGGAACTGAAAGAAGCTGTTCGAGCCCCTCTCTGACAAGCGGTGGGGAGTGACGGACCAGTTTCCATAAAAGTGCCATTTTCGATAACAGATTTAATGTCTTGGAAGGAAACTGTGAGTATTTACAGGGAGGATCGAGAGAGGGTGGCTGAAGTGTTTGAAAATATAATCAGGACTCAAGATCTACAAGTATTGTTAGACACATTGTTAGACAGTACTGAAAAGAGAATGGCCTTAAATACTACTCGAAAGCAGGTAGAAGGGGCACACACAAACGGAGATTTACAAGGAACAGTAGACCAGAATTTCCCTACTGTGGATCCCGCGTGCGATCCTAATCAGTCGGGACCATGAGAGCTCCTGACCAGGTATCAGAGATGGATATTATTTGGGGTTAAACATGCTATGCCAAAGCATAAATTGGTCAAAATTATATGAGGTAAAGCAGCAACCGAATGAGTCCCCAAACTGCCTTTATGGAATGACTGAAATCAACTGCTTGGAAATATACTAATTTGGATCCTGAGAAACCAGAGGAGGCTGTTCACTTGGCTTCTATTTTTATAGGGCGATCGGTCCCAGAGGAGGCTCTTCTCTTGGCTTCTATTTTTATAGGGCGATCAGTCCCTGATATAAGGAAAAAACTTCAAAAATTGGAAGGGGCAGAATCATGAGATTTAGGAAAACTACTAGAAGTCGCCTGAAAGGCATATAATAATCGGGAGCAGGAGAAGGAAATGTGGCAAACTAGGCAGGAGGGAAGACTAATTGCAGCCTTGACAAGATTTGCAGCAGGAGCGGGGGAAGAGGCGGACCGATTAATGGAAGCAATCCCGGAATGGGAAGAGGCAGAGGAAAGGGA